GGTGGGTGGGGGCCCTCTTTTAACAGCTGTTTCACATTTTTAATTCCCTTCACTGGAGGCCAAATGGCGTGAGCCACCGCGCCCGGCCTCTTTCTATTTTTTTAGTAGAGACGGGGATCTCGCTCTTGCTCAGGCTGGTTTCCAACTCCTGACCTCAAGCAATCCTCCTGCCTCGGCCTCCCAGAGTGCCGGGATCACAGGCGTGAGCCACCGTGCCCGGCCTCATCCAGGGTTAAGTCGGCCGGTCAGAGCCTGTGAACTCACCCCCTCTCCCCGCCACCGTCGAAAGGGAGGGGAAAAACGGGGGGCCGTTACCTGGCGATCTTGTCCGTGCAGGACATGGTGACCAGCTGCTCCCCCAGCAGGACGCCGTCCCAGGTCTGCACGGCTCCGCCCGACGGACGTCCCTACCAGATCGACTCTGTGTGCGGCAGGTGGGCCGCGGAAGCTTCCTGCCAGGTGTGTTGTGCTTTCACTAAGGAAAGGAGAGGCTCGGTGAGCAGGGAACTTCTGGGCTCTACGGGTGGGAGTGTGGAGGAGGGGAGGACTGGAGAGCGACCAGTGAAGTTCGGGCTACGCTGTAACGCAGGGCTCGGTGGAGTGGTCCCCCTCCAAGGAAATCGAGTTGTCTGTCCAGCCTGGGGTCAGCTGACTTTCGCGGCTACGGCCGGGCGCCATTATCTCAGACTTGGTGGACTCGACTCTCTGCCGCTCAGCCCAGGGTCGGCTCGGGACCGTGCGTGGTGTGGGTGGCAGGGTGGCTGTGTATCCCCCGACACTTGGTTTGTGGGCGCTGGAACATTTAAATATTTGTGCTTAGCTCTCGGGCCGGACAGAAGCGGGTGGTAATCGGGACCAGCCCCCGTCTAGGTTGCGGTCCTGGTCAGCCGTTTACTAGCTGTGAAACCCTGGGAAGTTACTCACTCTTTTATTTTTTGAGACAGAGTCTCACTCTGTTGCCCGGGCTAGAGTGAGTGGCCGTGGCGTCAGCCTAGCTCACAGCAACCTCAAACTCCTGGGCTCAAGCAATCCTCCTGCCTCAGCCTCCTCCCGAGTAGTTGGGACTACAGGCATGCGCCACCATGCCCGGCTAATTTTTTCTATGTATTTTTTAGTTGGCCAATTAATTTCTTTCTATTTTTAGTAGAGACGGGGGTCTCACTTTTGCTCAGGCTGGTCTCGAACTCCTGACCTTGAGCGATCCTCCCACCTTGGCCTCCCAGAGTGCTAGGGTTACAGGTGTGAGCCACCATGTCTGTCCTGGGCAATTTACTTAAAATTGCTGTGATGCAGTTACTTCCTTCAGAAATAGGGGCCCTAACAGCGCCTGCCTCCCAGGCTGCGAGGACTGCCTGAGACGGCACGAGGGAAAGTGCAGGATGCTGGGCACCTCAGTCTTGCTGCCCAGGTGCCGAGGTCTACGCAGGGCAGGTGCCCCAAGAGGCCTGGAAACAAGGTGGCCCCTGAGTGGGTCCTTGCAGGTCCCTCTCGTGGTCCGAGTTCTCCAGGGTCTGTGACACCCACCCACCGACCACGCCTCACACCCCACAGTTACTTGGGGAACTAGAGTGAACAAGAGGAAGCTTAAGTTTATTTTTCTTTCCTTGAAAAATTTGTGTATACTAAGCCTGAATTATATTATGATATAGAAATGGTTAACCACTCTGTGTACACATTTTATGCAAAATAGCATGGTCCATCATTTATTTACCTACCTATGGTGACATAAATCCACACTGAATGCTTTCTTTAGAGAGTTTCTACTTAACCTTTAGAAGTTGTGGAAGGGAATTCAAGGGAGGTTCTGGGTGGTAAGTGACACCCGGGTTTATGTGGGAACTTTCTCCTGCAGACTGAAAAGTAGTTTCCACCGTACTGTCTCATTGTGTCCAAGGGCTGAGCTGCTGGTATTACACGTTCATGGTGCCTGAAGGCCAGCTCCTGGGAAGAGAGGTGCTGCATTCCTTACAGCAGGGGTCCTCAAACTTTTTAAACAGGGGGCCAGTTCGCTGCCCCTCAGGCTGTTGGAGAGCCCTGCGCACACTCCACACATGCGCACTGTGGGCCCGGGACGCGTCGGCTGCTAGCAGGACAGGCGGCGGCGGCAAAAACACCCGGCGGGCCGGATAAATGTCCTCAGCGGGCCGCATGTGGCCTACTGGCCGTAGTTTGAGGACCCCTGCCTTAGAGAAAGTAAGCACGTGAGGGGCTTCGGAATGGCTTCCTCACATTGCCACAGACCAGAGACTTAATGAGATCAAATCTGGACTCTCAGTGAGTCCTCTGTGGAAGGAAGGAGCAATGGGAGAGGTTGAACCTGGGTGGGCTCAGCTAACGAACACCCAGTGCTCCCCCGTTGGAGCACCTGTCTCTCCCCTGAGCTTTAGTTGGTGCTGGGAATTAGATGGCAGTGATGGTGGCCACGATCATGATGGTGGTGATGGTGGTGATGGTGGGCGTGATAATGGTGGTGGTGTGATGATGATGACAGTGATGATGGTGATGGTGGTGGTGATGAGGGTGATTATGATGGTGATGATGGTGGTGATGATGATGGTGATGATAGTGGTGAAGATGGTGATGATGGTGGTGATGATGGTGATTATGATGATGATGGTGGTGATGATGGTGATGATGATGGTGATGATCATAGTGGTGAAGATGGTGGTGATGATGATGGTGGTGATGAAGGTGGTGATGATGGTGATGATAGTGATGACGGTAATGATGATAATGGTGATGATTAACATCATGATGATGATGGTGATGATGATGGTGTTGATGGTGATGATAATCGTGGTGATGAAGGTGGTGATGATAGTGATGATGGTAATGATGATGATAATCGTGATGGTGATGATGATGGTGGTGATGATGGTGGTGATGATGGTGGTGATGAAAGTGGTGATGATAGTGATGATGGTAATGATGATGATAATCGTGACGATTAACATCATGGTGATGATGATTGTGATGATGATGGTGTTGATGGTGATGAAAGTGGTGATGAAGGTGGTGATGATGGTGATGATGGTGATTATGATGATGACTAACATCATGATGATGATGGTAGTGATGATGGTGATGATGATGGTAATGATGATGATTAACATGATGACGATGGTGATGGGTGGTATAATATTGATGATATATTGAAAAAAGATAGTTCACGTGACTCAGAAACACCTGGCTTAGCCTGTCTTTTCACGCTGTCCAGGTGAGCTCTTTACCAGCATCAGCCCCTGGCAGGCAGTGTTGGGAGCATGGAGGAGCCAGCACACGGGCACTCTCCACAATGCTGTCACAATGCTGGGGACTTCACTCTTCCATCTGGGGATGTTTTCTCAGGGAACGTGGTACTTGCGGTCCCCTATCTCTGGTAATCGTAGTGTGCTGTGTTCTCCCAACACTTGAGCTACCGGTCGTCTTCCAGACCTTGACAGTTGCCTGTCACGTCACCAGGGCTTTCCAAATTCTCACTCATTGCTCCAGCACAACCAGCCCCTTCCTGGAGGACACTCCGTAGCCTGTTAATGCCGTGATAACGGGAGCCTGGCTTGAGTTAACAGCCGGCTTCTAATAATTTTGCTTGAAGAGCCAGGTGCAGGAGCTGCTCCCGACAGTGTTGATTTCTGGGGCTCGCGTCTCAGGCTGCCTTCTCCAGCAGCTCCCGGGGGAGCTGGGCCCCGTCCCAGGCAGTCGGAGTGGGGTGGACCTCGCAGAGCCCGCTTCCTCCGGCTCTTTCTTGGCTAATTGTGAGAGGCAGGAGGGACCTGAAGATGCCACTTCAGGCAGAACGAAATGCCAATCCGGCCAGCAGTTGCAGGGAGCTGAACGTAAATAGTCTGCCGTGGATCTTCAGTGTGCCTGAGACTGTGGGAAGGCGGGATGTGGAGATCCCACCTGCTGTGTACACACGGATACTCCCAGACCCGCCAGGACGTTCTAGTCAAATCCTGGCATCGCAAACCGCCAGACCCTTCCTCCTAGCGGGTATTCGTCTAAAACCCTTTCCTTTCGACGTCAAGGAAAAGGCAGGCAGTAATAGTCTTCCTAAAGTTGTTCCAGTGAATGCTTTATTTTTAGGGGAGTGTCAGAAGGAGATGGGCATAAATGAGAAGAAGTTCCATCCCCAGGGGGAGCTCAAGGTTTATCTAAAAAGCAGTGCACAGCTGCTACCGGTGGTATGGGGAGGGGACAGAGCCAAAAACGAAAAACAAACAAACAAACAAAAAATCACAGGAAGGGAAGGAAATAGTTTCAAACGCCAAGTAAACTTTAGCATTTCAAGTTGCCTTCCAAAGGTAAATCCCAGAAGGTTTACCTGTGAAACAACCTCTGTTTATTGTAATGATAACGTCTACAATATTTTCCATGTGGTCGTGAGGGTGAACGTTGGCTTTCTTGATGACGATGATAGTGATAATTTGAAATTATGAGGCCATTAAAGTTCATTATCCCGCAGCGCACAAATATTATCATAGTTTGCATATTTCTGTGACTCAGTAGGAAAATCTGAACACAGGAATTTATGGAATTGTATTTTAGATTTCCTGACTTCAATCCCCTCAACAGCCCTCTACACAATGAATGGAATTGGCTCAGAACAGATGTACTAAGCTCTTAGCATAAACTTGTAGATAAATATAAAGACACAATGCTGCTATTTTTCTTGGCATTTTGTAGGGTATAGATTGGAGAACTTCACTAAGCTATTAAATTCTTGGTAAATGGCAGTGAGAACTGAATTTACCAGGTTATTTAAAAACCACGCCAAGTACCAGGCGCGGCAGCTCACGCCTGTAATCCCAGCACTCTGGGAGGCCGAGGTGAGAGGAATGCTTGAGCTCAGGAGTTCGAGACCAGCCTGAGCAAGAGTGAGACCCCCATCTCTACTATAAATAGAAGGAAATTAGCCAAACAACTAAAAATAGAAAAAATTAGCTGGGCACAGTGGCACGTGCCTGTAGTCCCAGCTACTCGGGAGGCTGAGGCAGAAGGATTGCTGGAGCCCAGGAGTTTGAGGTTGCTGTGAGCTAGGCCACGGCACTCTAGCCCAGGCAAAAGAATGAGACTCTGTCTCAAAAACAAACAAACAAACAAACAAACAAACAAACAAAACACCAAAAAAACCATACTAAGAAAGAGAAATTCAGCTTTAAGAAACAATAGTGATCTAGCACCTCTTGTATATTCCTGGATACAGCTGGAACCCATTCTACTAAGTGAAGTATCTCAAGAATGGAAAAACAAGCACCACATGGACTTATCAGCAAATTGGTATTAACGGATCAGCACCTAAGTGCACATACAGGAATAATATTGGGTGTCAGGAGGGTGGGAGGGGGGAGGAGGGGATGGGTATATACAACCACAACGAGTAAGATGTGCAACATTTGGGAGATGAACATGCTTGAAGCTCTTACTTGAGAGGGGAGGGGGGCCTGGGCAATAAATGTAACCTTAACACTCGTATCCCCATAATATGCTAAAATAAAAAAAAAAACCTTAAAAAAAAAAAAAAGACAGAGAAATTTGCACCCAGGTGCAGTGCCCGAGACTCTGACACTCTCCTGGCCCATTTGGGTTCTTATCAGAACTGCCTTGGTGCTCGCCGGGGCCTCCCAGAACCACTACAGCAGTGGGGTCGTCCCCTGAGAGTCTGGAAGGGCCTTGTCCCTCCGTGATGGGAGCTGGCGCCCTACGGCCTCTGGAACCGTGCAAATCCTGACCCCAGCATGTTCTCGGGCTGTGGAAAGGGACATCTTTCAGGCACCGTCTTTAGCTTGACTGAGTTGGTCTCAGGATTCAGCAGTTCTGAGATACCCAGGTGGGTGCAGCAGCCCTGCCCGGCACAAGATCAAAGCCCCGGGTCCGCGGCACCTGTCGCTGCTGCTCGGGACAGACCAGCGGAGGGGCTCCTGCCACAGGGCTCCGCTCAGCTTCTGCAGAGACTCCGGCGGGCGTCGACTCCTCAAAGACCTGTCCACTAAGCCGGCAGGGAAATAAAGGCCCAGTCCGGAGAGGAGATTGATTTAGGGGGGTCCAAATCCAGTGGCTGGGGCCAGGCGCGGTGGCTCACGCCTGTAATCCTAGCCTCTGGGAGGCCGAGGCGGGAGGATCGCTGAAGGTCAGGAATTCGAAACCAGCCTGAGCAAAGGTGAGACCCTGTGTCTACTAAATATAGAAAGAAATTAATTGGCCAACTAAAAATATATAGAAAAACTTAGCCGGGCATGGTGGTGCATGCCTGTAGTCCCAGCTACTCGGAAGGCTGAGGCAGGAGGATTGCTTGAGCCCAGGAGTTTGAGGTTGTTGTGAGCTAGGCTGACGCCACAGCACTCACTCTAGCCTGGGCAACAGAGTGAGACTCTGTCTCAAAAAAATAAAAATAAAAAAAAATCCAGTGGCTGGAAACAGAACTGACGCTCAGGAATCTGCAGACCCTTGGACACCCTAATGCATCAGAATCTCATCCAAAGATCCTGCAGCAGGAACCTGCTTTTGCAAAACCTCCTCTGGTGACCCTGATAGACAAGCCAGGTTTGGAAACAACCGAATCTAACACACTCCTAAATTTGCAGGCAACAAACACATCTCCCCAGATATCTTGGACCAACTGGCACTGATATTGTATTTAAGGACTCCAGGGAAGGAGAGTTTATGATCTGTGCAGATGAATGCTTTTGAGAATGAATAAAATTTCCAAAGCCACATGCCTGGGGGAGGGGGGCTTGCTGGCAGCCCCAGGGCCTTCCTGCAGTCTCCCTGCACCTGGGCCTCAGGTAGCCCTGCGCACTGGGGTCAGGGAAATCTGGACACCTTCTCTGAGCTTCCAGGCCAGAGGAGTCCTTGGTGGACGGCAGGTATTCTGCAGCTGGGGGGAGTCAGATGTTTGCTCCTAAAATTTCCAAGTCAGAACTCAGTTCTCCCCTTGGCCCTCTGGTTATAGGATCCTCGCTTTAATGATTATTTAAAACCATCATTGGACTTTCTGACTCTGCTCTTCTTGGTGTTCCTTCCTTTTTAAAGGGAGGCAGAGAAGTCCAGGCCACCTGTTCAAGTGCCCAAGCTTCTCTTTTGTTTAGTCATGTTATGTTTGTAGATCTGGAAACATTAGATACCTGTTGAGTGTATGTGTGCACATGTGCTCATGCATGTGTGTTTCTGTGTGCACATGTGCATATATTTTTTGTATGCACATGTGCTCATGCATGTGTGTTTGTGTGCACATGTACTTATGCACATATATCTGTGTGTGCACATGTGCTCGTGCATGTGTTTGTGTGCACATGTGCTCATGCATGTGTGTTTGTGTGCACATGTACTTATGCACATATATCTGTGTGTGCACACATGCTTGTGCATGTGTTTTTGTGTGCACGTGTGCTTATGCACATATATTTGTGTGTGCACACATGCTCGTGCATGTGTTTTTGTGTGCACGTGTGCTTATGCACATATATTTGTGTGTGCACACATGCTCATGCATGTGTGTCTGTGGGGTATGTATGTGAGAGAGAGAGAGAGAGAGAGAGGAAAATTCCGGAACAGCTGCAGGTTGGTAGCTCAGCTGCGGGCCCTGTGCAGAGATGCATGATAGCTCCTTGCAGACCAGATGAGGGAGTGAGAAACGAACGAGCGGAAGCCATCAGAACCAAGCCGGGCAATGTGCGGGTGAGAGGACACAGGGCAGTTTCCAGAGCTGGAGAGAACCCCGGGCGGACGGAGAGCTCAGTCTAGGGCGTCCTTTGCTCCGGGATGAGCTCCATAGACCCGATGAGGATCTCGGTGGACGGACTGGATGTCCTGTGCTCTGCAGGCTCTGTGTTTGAGAGCACAGTGTCATGATGAGGCAGCTCCTGGCTCCCTTAGGACCTGGGCCTGGGGCTGGCGGTGCAGAGAGGCTGAGTGGTCTCTCCGGGGCTCCTTCCAAGCCGAGGGCGGCAGGAAATTGGGTTTCTCGCCCTCGCTGAATGAGGAAGGGGAAAGCGGTGTGTAACCTGGGCTGATGAGTCCACTTTGCAAGCTCCCAGGCAGCGGCATCTCATCCACAGCGAAAGTGTCAGAGAAATGCTTTATTTTTTTTTCTCCTACCAACACCTGCCGCTTCTTAAAAGCACCGTGCAATAAAAGACATCTGTGTCTGGAAGTGAGCCCCAGGGTGCCCCTGAGAATGTACTTGTTTGTTTTTCTAAACCGCAGACGTGGCAGGTTGGAGCCGGGGCCGGCTGCAAAGGCCAGGGCTGGCGGTGGATGCGCAGAGACGCGGGAAGCCCGGTGAGCCGTAGCTGCCCCCGAGACCAGGGGTCTCAGGCGTGGACAGGCTCCTGAGGCCCCACTCAGCGCCCCCCAGTCTCCCACGGGACGCGGCAGCAGAGGCAGCCGCTGGGCAAGTCGGGCCAGCGCCCAGCGCTCGGCGGGGCTTCCCCTCCCACCTGAGGCTGCTGGGCTGGGTCTTCAAGGCACCGAACTCTCAGGAGAGAGTGGGAAGAAAGTTCCCGGTGTCTGTCTAACTGGACCAGACGTCACAACGTCACAGGGCGAGTTGCTTCCATGCGGGTCCAGTGTGATCGTCCAACGGAAATGAGCCTCCACACATTGTTTCCTGTCCTCCCCAGCCCGGCACGCGCAGGCCCCCCAGGGGTGCCCATTCTCCCCCAGGAGGGAGCCGGGGCCCAGCCTGGGCCGTCAGCACCTGCACTTGCCCTGCGCTTCTGCCGGGACGTCCCCCCCCCAGGCCCTCATCAGGACGCGGGTCTAATTCCAGTCCCTGCGTGGGAAGGGGTGCCTGGCCCGCTTCCAGAGAGGGTTTGGAGGAGGTGTGTGAGTGTAGTGCCTACATATGTGTGTGAGTGCAGTGCGTACATGTGTGTGTGGTGTGTAATGTGTGTGAGTGTGGTGCATACATGCACACGTGTGGTCTGTACATGCATGTGTGGTGTGTAATGCATGTGTGAGTATGGTGTCTTCATGTGTGTGTGGTGTGTAATGTAAGTGGGGTGCATACATGCGTGTGTGGTGTGTACATGCATGTGTGAGTGTGGTGTGTAATGTGTGTAAGTGTGGTGCATACATGGTCATGTGGTGTGTACACACATGTGAGTGTGCTGTGTAATGCGTGTGTGGTATGTAATGCATGCAAACACGGTACATACAGGTGTGGTGTGCGCATATGTGTGAATGTGAAGTGTACATGCATATGTGCCTACCTGCATGCGTGTAACATACATGTAACACACATGCACAGAGCACCCACATAGGACTTCACAGGGCACTTGGGGGGGTGGCCCTGACTCTCCTCACAGAGATGCTCACGTCCTAGGCAACCCCAGAGCAGAGGCCTCAGCCTCCCCCTGCACTGGCCCCATCCCTGACCTTTGCTAGCTGAGGTCACTGAGGGGCAGGGTCGGGTGGCGGGGTGGTGGTGGCCTTAACTCATAAACCCACCGGGTGGCCAGGAAACTCCACAGGTGACAGGAGACCTGGGCAGGCACCTTTGGGGGGAGGTCGCACGCCCCTGGCTTCGTTACAAAAGCGGAGCTTTGCTGTCCCCAAACTTTCGGGCGAAGACAGCAGGCGGGACCTGCTCCCACCAGGCACCTGCGAGGCCTTTTCCCTCCTTTGTGCCCGGCAGGACACGGGGGTGTCCGCCCCACTATCAGGAAGCAGAGGACTACGGCCATTCAGCAGCTGGTTTTAGACCCCAAACTACTTTCTGCCCGGGATCTGGGCGTTCCGGACTTCGGAGGCGCGACTGTCCGGCCAGTCTCAGGTGTGACCCGCGTCCACCCTCGCCGCCCCGCCACCGCACGGGGAGGGGGGGAGACAGCCGGGGACCCCCACGGGGAGGGGCTGTCGGTCGGTCGGGGAAGGCAACGGGCGGCCGCTTACGGTCTGTGGCGATCTCGTACGGGGAGTGCAGCCTGGCGTCGCCGCAGGGCGAGGCGCTCACGTACAGGTGGAAGAGCACGTTGTCGCGCAGCCGGTAGCCGCCGCCGTCCTTGGCGCGCGCGAAGACCGAGCGCTCCGCGTCCTCCCGCCGCTTGCTGGGAACACAGGGGTCCGGGTCACTCCCCGCGGGCCGCCGGGCGGGACCCTACAGGGCAGCGGACACCTGCGGCCCCCTCGCCCCGCCGCCCGCCCGCGGGTCCCTGTCGCCGTTTCCCCGCTGCCGTGAACCCCGTGTCTGCGTTTGTGAAACGAATCCTGCGACTCCCGCTGGCTGCGACCCTCGGGGACGCGGACCTGTCCCGGCCTCGGCGGGGCTCGGGGAGGGCCGGGCGGGGCCAGCGCAGGTGTCGCCGCCACAGCGCGGGGACTGTCGCCTCCGCACCGCCCGCGACAGACGGCGCAGCCCGAGCTTCCGACCGAGGGAGGGGTGGGGCGTTCTCCCCTCGGACCCCCCTGCGCCCCCAACTAAACCGACGGCAGCTCGGTGGGGCGAGGTGGGAGGACCCCGGACGGGGCCTGTTATCCCAGGTGTTATGGCCTGGTTCCTGCGGCCGACCTCCCGCGGGTCTCCCCGTTTCTACACGCTCCGCCCGGCGGTGGCGGACTCGGCTCTGGGGGGCGCGAGGCGCCGCAGGCAGCGGAACAGGCTTGCTCTCCCCAGGAGACCCGGGGTGTTCCGCTTGTCCCGCTTCGCTCTGCCCTAGCGCTGTCTCACTGACCGCCCGGCCTCCTCTGCCCAGGACGCCCTCTCCCCTATACCTGTAACCCAGAACTTGCCACCCTTCGCTCTCCGCTCAACCCAGGACGCCTCCCCCTATCCCCATCAAGTAGCGCCGCTCACCCGCTCAGACGCCACTTTTATTCTCCTCACTCCTCCATTCTTAAGGACACCCCTCCCCCCGCCCAGGACGCCACTGCCGCCACCGCCCAGCACGCCCCTCACCCATACTGCCCAAGGACACCCCTGCCCCTGACCAGGACGCCCCTCCCCCGCCCAGACGCCCTCCCCTGTCATTTATCGCCAGCTCAGCCCACTCCCCCTGCCAGACACCCCTGCCCTGACCAGGATGCCCCTCCCTCGCCAGGATGCCTCTTCTGCCCTCCTGCCGGAGGGACGCCCCTCCGCACCGCCCAGCCACGCCCTCCCCTGCAGATCCACCCGCCATATGCCCCCTGACCAGGATGCCCCTCCCGCCCAGGATGCCCTGCACCTCGCAGAGCCACCTCTCAATCCAAGTGCAACGATTCCCTCACTCAAGAGAGTGCAGGTGAGAGCTTCACAAACCACCAGCGTGAGCTGGACAAGCCGCGTGCGTGCCGGGCTTCCACGCAGAGCCTGGCGGGGCTGGGCCAGGCAGGTGGGGGCTCAGGAGAGAGATTCCAGCTCTGCCCCCTCTCCAATCCGGCCCCATGGTGCAGGCCGGGTGTCAGGGACGGTGTGTCTCCTGCGCCCACTTAGAGCTCAGATACAATTAATTGATGGGCGGGCTGCGGGGTCACGCTGTCTCCAGCATCTGGTGATGCCGTGCGGTGGGATCGATTGTATATAGTATGCACTGTGGTGTGTGTTGTCGTCGTGTGTCCGTATGGCTCAGGATTCGAGGAGCAGCCTGAGTAATGAGCCAGACCCTTGTCTTACCAAAAATCGCTAACGAAATTAGATGTGTACAACTCTCAGAAAAAGGTAAAATGCCAGAGTGATAATTAATATATATATATCGTAAATTAGCCGGGCATGGTGGTGCATGCTGTATCCCTAGCTACTCGGTAGGCCGAAAGGATTTTTCGCTCGGTATGCAGGAGTCTGAGTTGCTGAGCTTAGGCTGACGCCACGTGCGCACATCTTTCTCATCACTTAGCCCGAGCCAGAGTGAGACTCATGTCTCAAAAAAAAAAAAAAAAAACAAACAAACCACAACGTCGACGTGAGTGTGTTAAGGTCGTGTTCTTATCTCAGTCTGTCGGGCATATGTTTGGGCCTCTCCTCCCACTGTGCGGCCTCTGCACATGCCGATGTGCTGAACGAGCCCCCGCGTGAAGCCCGGACACGCTGGCTCTAAGGATAAGAGGAAGCAGCTGGAAGGCGCGCAGAGGCCCACAGCCCCCAAGCCACCCAGACCGAGCAGCTCGGCTGGGAAGGCGCCTGGGGGCACCTGCCCCAATCCACCTGCGCCAGGTGTAAGAACACGGAAAAAAAAAGATTGCGGTAACAGCACAAACACTAATAGCGGAATGCCGAGACGCCTGGCACAAGGGTCACAGAGTCCCGGAGGCACACCTGGAACCGAGCTTAAGAGCGAAAATTGCGAGAGATGGCAGAGCTATTACAACGAGGGCGAGCAACAGTCACCGAATTAATCGAAAAAGCTGGTGATCCCCAAAGACTCCCTGAGGGGGCCACGAGCACTACTGGACATCCACTCAGCAACACCAAGCACTGCTCCGGGGCGTGTGTACACCAACAGCGTACCTGAGTTGCATGCTTCAGCGAGACAGTGTACGAGGCACAATGCAAAGGGTAAGTGCGCTGACAGAGGCCACCACCTCCGCCGTATGGGCAGTTACTCCGTTTGACAACACATACAGACCCTGTGTCCCAACTGAATGTGCTGCGACTGAATTAGCACTATTGAAGAGACCGCGAGGACGAGGACCACCAAACTGCAGAACATGCACAGCAACCAGTACAAGCCTGGCCACACCACAAGCGCCTACTCTCCTTGAATGATCCATACTAGTAACAGAGAGTCATCTCTTCACCCAGTAGTGTCTTTTGGGGTCCCTGGACGGCCGGCCATCCCCCAGCGAGGGGGCTCAGGACTGCTACCCAACCAGCCACAGCGAGTGGAGACTTAGGACTCCCACCGCCCCAGCCGAGGGGACTACAACGAACTCACCACTAACCTAATAAACAATTGATGTAAGATAAAATAAATAAAATGAATTTGAAAATAAACTATCCAAGTCCCAGCGAGGACACTACTCCACACACACCAGCGAGGGACAATACACAGACCAACAACAGCCGAAGAGAGGAAAATCAAGAAGAGACACCACACACACAGCCCAGCCGAGGAGACTCTGCGAACCGAAACCCAAACCAGAACAAGTCCAGCAGAGGGGACTCAGGACTCCCCACCTCCAGCGAGGGACTGGCAAGGACTCCCCAACCCCCCAGCGAGGGACTCAAGGACTCCCCACCCCCAGCGAGGGGAGCGCAGGACACTCCCACCCCCAGCGAGGGAGGGCCAAAAACACGGAGAGGAGGAAAAGGAGAGATCCTGAGTCCCCTCGCTGTGGGGTGGGAGTCCTGAGTCCCCTCGCTGGGGGGTGGAGTCCTGTCCCCTCGTGTGGGTTGGGAGTCCTGGAGTCCCCTCGCTGGGGGCTGGGGAGTCCTGATGACCCTCTCATGGCGGGTGGGCGGAAGTCCTGAGTCCCCTCGCTGGCTGTGGGGAGTCCTGAGTCCCCTCCCTGGCGTGGGGAGTCCTGGTCCCTCCGATGGGGTGGCCGAGTCCTGATCCCCTCCCTGGGGGGTGGGAGCATCCCTGAGTCCCCCTCCGACTGGGCATTGGGGAGTCCTAAGTCCCCTGCCTAGGGGCCGTGGCAGTCCTGAGCCCCCTCGCTGGGGGGTGGGCCGGCGTCCAGACCCCCAAAAACACTCCGGGGAGAGAGCTCCGACCAGAGACTCGAGAGTGGCCGCTCTGGGTGTGCGCAGGCTTGGACGTGCGGCAGGCGCAGGTGGTGGTCCTGTCCTCGGGCACCAAGTGCATCAGCGGGGAGCACATCAGCGACCAGGGGCTGGTGGTCAACGACTGCCACGCGGAGGTGGTGGCCCGGCGCGCCTTCCTGCACTTCCTCTACACGCAGCTCGAGCTGCACCTCAGGTACGCGGCCGCCGGCGCCGGGCAGGCGGGCTGGGGAGCCGGGTGCCCGTGGCCCCAGGGTGGGGACACCGCGAGGGGACAGCAGCTCCCGGTGAACCCCGGCCTCGGGCCTCGGTTTCTCAGCGGCCAGTTTGCCTCCGGGCCTGTGACCCGGGCCAGGCTCTCTCTGCACCGCAGGAGCGCTGTCCGCAGTGGCGTGGCAGAACAGATTGCTGACTCCGGTGAGGCCCTCAGAGATGGTTCTGAGGGTGAGGCGCCCCCGTGCCTGCAGCTCCTCCCCCGTGAGATGCACCTGGCGTAAAAGGGGCTGGATGGGGCAGGTGCCCCCAGGCGCCTTCCCAGCCAGCCTGCTCGTTTGTGTGGTGCTGGGGGCTGTGGCCTTCGCGCGCCTTCCAGCTGCTTCCTCTATCCCTTAGGAGCCTAGCCGAGGTCCGGGCTCTCACGCCGGGGCGTCATTCAGCACCATCGGCAATGTGCATAGGTGCCACCACAGTGGGAGTGACGAGGCCCGCAAACATATGCGCCGACAGAATGAGATAAGTAACACGACCTTAACACCACGCTCAACTGTTGGTTGTTTTTTTTTTTTTGAGACAAGATCTCACTCTGCTTGCCCGTTTTGCAGATTGCGTGCCGTTGGGCGTTCAGCCTCGCTCACGAGCAAACCTCAAAATCCTGGGCTCCATGCGATCCTCCTGCCTCGAACCCTCCGCTGAGTAGCTGGGCTAGCCAGGCATGCACCACGCAGCCGCCGGCTTATATATATATATATTTGTTTTTTCTTTAGTTGTCCGAGCTAATTTGCTTTGTATTTTTGGTAGCAGACGGGTCGCTTCTTGCATCGGCTGGTCCTCGAACATTCCTGAAGCTCAAACGAATCCACCCGCCTCGACCTCCCAGAGTGCTGGGATGACAGGCGTGAGCCCGCGCGCTCCGCCCACTCAATTAATTGTATCTGAGCCTCTGAAGTGGGCGGCAGCGAGACACACCGTCCCTGACACCCGGCCTGCCCCAGTGGGGCCGGAGTTGGAGGGAGGGGGCAGAGCTGGAATCTCTCTCCTGAGCCCCCACCTGCCTGGCCCAGCCCCGCCAGGCTCTGCGTGGAAGCCCGGCACGCACGCTGCTTGTCCGCTGCAGCGTCTGGGGGTGCAGCTCTCCCCTCCTCTCTGAGGAAGGTCCCTGGGGT